CCCCCAACACATTTTTTATTCTTTTGAGACAAGATCTCACTAGGTCAATAAGTTATCTAGGCTGGACACAAGACTTGTGATACTCTTCTTTCACCCTCCCAGAGGGCTGGGATGACAGGTCTGCACCACCATACCTGATTTGGGGTGACCTGTTTGAACCCAAGGAATTTAGACTCTAAGGAAAAATTACCTTTCTGAAAATAGAAGAAAAAAATGGAAATAAAGCTTTTGTACAAAGGGAGGGTAGAAGGCTTGGGGGAATGTGATAAAATAAAATTTATTAATAAAAAATTATGTTTCTGAGACTCAATGTCTATAATGCAGAATAACAGTAATGCAGGATTATTACAGAGATTAAATGAGTTGCTTAGAAAGTATAAACCTCTAAACAAATGTTGGAGGTAGTAGTTAATGACATTCATGTCTGGTTTAATTTTGGCAAGAAAGGTGATCAGTTGTGGCTAAATTTGCATCGACTGTTGAAAACACTGGGCGTGCACAAGACGAGAGACAATTTTTCTGTAAGTTTCAGGCCATGTTAGATTTCCCAGTCCATAATAATAGAATACAGAAATAAACTTTGAGCCCAGAGGAATGCATCTGGCAACCTTCTGGCCACTTTGAAAGAAGAATAAAAAGCCCCTGATGAGAACCCCCTGGTTAGTCACATGCTGAGCCCTGAGAGTGAGGAGAAAATGGCCCCAAAGAGATCTGGGACCTCCCTCACCTATATTTGTTTACTGGTGTTCAGGAAATTGCTTGGGGGTGAGTTGGGTGGACCAAGGATGCCACAGCTTGTCATCTAAGGAGACTGGGAGGGGCTGGGCCGTGATTCCGGTTAGGTGGGTCCTCACCCTGCACGAGGCAGGTATGCACGAGCATGAATCATAAGCCCCTCTTGTTCAGAGCCAGTCAGCTAGTTCTTACAGCCCTACTCTTGGCTTTTACGCTGTACGGTCCCAACCTCTTCAAAGAGTACCACCATCACCACGCCACCTGGACAGAATGATTTATTCATCACGACGAGCTCTTTAAGGCCTGAGACTCATTCTTGACCACGCCACTCTTAGGTCCTTCAAATGAGACATAATCCTCTCTCTCATCTTCTTTTCTTGCTTCTTTGCTCCTTCCAGAATGCCACGTCTCCTGCCTTTGCTTCTATCTTAGCTCCTTTTTTCCTTTTTTGGGGATCCTTTTTTAGCACTCTTCCTCTCCTACTTCCTCCATTTCCTTCTTCTCCTGCTCAAGTCCACCTGTCTCTGGCTTCAGATCCAGCCAGCATCTTCCTCTGTGTTCTTCATGTCATATGCATCTGCCAGGAGCCGCGCAATGCCGGTGTCCTGAGTCCAAGCTCAGAGAGGATCATGTGATGAGGGGACACACAGTGTGACCCCTGCCGGCCAGCCAAGGAGGGAGCTGCCCCTTCCACTGAGGGGACAAAGGCTATGGGCTCACAGCCTCGTTCACCTCGTCTAGCACAATCAAGTTCTCCTCCTACCACTCCTGCCGGTACTCTCCTCCTGCACTCCTCCATGGCTCTATCTATCTACCCCTAGCTGGTGCTGACATGCCCCAGACAGAATGTGCTGCGGCAGGTGTGGTGCTGCCTGGTGAATGGACAGGCACAGGGCTCCTTGTCAAGGGTAGGGACAGGTGGTCGGAAAACAGCACTCAGCACTCTCTGCTGCCACCCAGCCCCGTGCTGCTGCCCCCGCTCCATCCAGCGGGGTGTCAGTGTCGGGAGGGGAGTTTGTCCTGTCTCCTTCATTCTTTAGAACCCCACCCACTATGTTTCTTCTAATCCAAATCTCATTTTGAAATCTCCTGCCCAAGGGGTTTCTCAACCTTTCCCAGTTTTGCATCAACCTGCTGATTACAGCACTCCCGGATGAGGAATAGAGACATTAGGTGGGACCTGGCCTGGCACTGTGCCCTGGAGACACTCCTTGTGCCTGCAACAGTCATCCGACTAGTGGCATCTGGACAAACAAACCTCTTCCCCGCCTTATCTTCCATGAAGGAAAAAGCCAAGCAGGCTCCAGCGATGAAGAAGGACCAGCTGAATGGCAAATTACATGACCATATTCTTCCCCACTTGCACAGGGGGATCCTCTTCAGGCAGCCCACGACGTCCCGTCCCCCAGGCCAGCCCTTCTCAGGGAGGTATTTCACAGGAATGTCTTTTAGCTCCCTACCTCGGGCTAAATGAGGTGGACTCTGGTGATGGAAAGCCTGCCCCAGGAGCAACTTCCACAGCAAGCACGCAACCTCAGGGAACTAGGTCAGTCTTTCACGTGGTCCACTAAAGCCGTGGGCACAGTTATCCTCCAGAGGACACTGGAGGCAGGTACAGGGTTAGAATGTTGAACTGGGTCCCTGCGTCATGTTCTAACTGACAAAACCTTTGCCTTGATTTTTATTTTAAAAATCCACTCAAAGCTTCAAATCTGCATCTAATTCCCTCATGCAAACGAACAGAGCGGAATACTGACGTGAAGCTCCAACCAGAAACTCCTTGTTCCCTCTTATGGGAGTGAAGGCTTTCTCTCTGCTCCTACACACTGAGGACAGAAAACACCTGATACCGCAGTGAGCTCTTGTTCTTGGCACCTGATGTCACTCTTGCTTCACTCTGCTTCAGCTCAAAGTCCAACTGCCTGGTTGGTGGCAGTCACTAGAGAGGGACAGAACTCTCTTCTCCCTTCCCCCTTGGGCAGGTGTATGAGTGCGCGCACACACACACACACACACACACACACAACTTGTGAGCAAGTATGTGCATGTGTGAGTATACACACACTCCCCAGGGCAAGAGCCCAACCTTGCAGGAGGGAGGCAAAAGGCTGGTAGCCATCTGTGGCCCCAGAATGCCATGCGGTGGATGGTAAGGAGGAAGAGCCACAGGAAAAGATGGAACTGAAGCAGGGTCCTCATCTTCCTGGACCAGGTTGGGGTAAACCAAGCCACTTGGAATTAGTTGTTGACTTTGCCCACATATTCTTAAAATCTCAAGTAGCTCAGAAGACAATCTTAACAGCACAAACACGTACAAATAGAGTCCCGACATCAAAGGCTAATTCCGATGGCAGAAACACATCAAGGGTGACCTGTAGCCATGAAGCTTGCTGTCTCTGCCTCTCCTCGGGTACCACCTACTATGTCTTTGTTGGCCCCCAGTGCTGCACCTCAACTCACAGATTTTTCTAAGAACACCTTTTGGCAACCAAATATTCTTTTCCCTTTCTGTTGGTTTAATTAACTAGCATCATTATGTTTCTCCTCCCAGGCTCCAGAAACAATGAACCATTTCCACAGTCTCTCCCAGCTTTGCTACTGCTCTGTCCTTGCTAAAAAAAACATCTAGGCTCAGGGCCAGGGATTTAGCTGCCTGCCTCATAAGCCCAAGGTCTCCAGTTCAATCCCTGGGTACCAAAACAAACAAACAAACAAAAAAACAAAAAACAAAACCAAACATCTAGGCTCCTCTTAACAAATTCAATGAGTTTCTTCAACTCCAACTTCTGGGCTGACTCCAGAGTCCCCTTTTGTACCTCCCTCCCTCCTTTGCTGTCCCTTCATAGGGACAGTGAGTGGTTCCTTTCCAGGGCACATAGCTAAAATATTCTTCTGATAAGAAATCCAACTCTTAGCCGGGTGTGGTAGCGCACGCCTGTAATCCCAGCACTTGGGAGGCTGAGGCAGGAGGATCGCTGTGAGTTCGAGACCAGCCTGGGCTACATAGAGTTCCAGGTCAGTCTCAACTACATAGTGAGACCCTGTCTCAAAAAACAAAACAAAACAAAAAAACAGAAAAAAAAAGAAAAAGAAAAAGAAAAAGAAATCCAACTCTTTACCATCCATGAGCAATAGGTGTTTCAGGGTTAAGGAGACATCTGACCTAAGCATCACAGGCTCAGTGAAGTGCCATTACCCAAGCAGAGCTGCTGTGGAAAGGGCTGCGGGCCCACAGCCGCCCTTTGGCCACACTTCTGCCCGCAGCGATCAGGCATCATTGCCTGAAAAGCACAACGACAACTAGGTTACAAGGTTTGAGGCTGCCTTGATGTTCCCGGATTCCTGGCCCTCTTAACAACTGGGCTGTCTTGAGCAAGAGCTCCCTGGGAAGGTGGGGCTTCCCTGCCCCGTCATTCTGACGCCTCACTGTACTGAGCGAGCAGCTTATCCATTTCCCCACCAGCTCCTCTTTGAAAACACCTCATAAAGGTGCATCAGAGGAAACACTCTTTTCATCCCACCTATTATTAGATCCTGGAGCACAGAGGCTAGAACTATGCAATCATCCTGGAGATGAGGAGGAGACACAAGTGGCCGGACTAGCATTTAGCCTGTTTCTGGAGATTAAGATGGTTGATGTCAAGGTCAGGAAGGACCAACTCCAACCAACAGGACCATGTGTGACTGTGTCCAGAGCACTCCTTTTGTGGTCTTGGGTACCACCCAAGCCAACAGACAAGAACCGTAGACAGTGGGGATTTATGAGCAGAAGCAAGTGTAATAATGAATTGGGTTACACTCTTCTTGAGGAAGCTAGCTCAAAGGACTTTATGACCATTATCTCATCGATCTTACCAACATCCAAGGAAGGAAAGACGGAAGGAAAAGGCAAAGCTTTCTCATTTTATCAAAAAGAAAATGATACCCCCCCAAAAAAAGATTATTAAAAAAAAAAGGGCCGGGGATTTAGCTCAGCAGTTCTAGCAGGAGGACCCGAGTTCGATCCCTGGTACTAGAAAATAAAAACAAACAAAAAACAACAAAAAAAAAAAAAAAAAAAAAAAAAAAAAAAGATTATAAAAAAAAGAAAATGAAAGGGTATGGTGGTGTACACCTGTACTCTCACCTGCTTAGGACATTGAAGCAGGAGGATCATAAGTTCAAAGCCAGTCTGGCAAATTAGTGAGACCATGTCTCAAAAATAAATAATTAATAAACAAACTCTGGGCTCAATCCCCAATATCACATGAAAAACAAAAGAGGGAGAGAGGGAGAGTTTTTAGACAAACCAGCCACTATTCACTGATAAGGTCAGTAAAGAAGCACAAATGAACGCAAAGCCCCTTCCTGGCTCCCAGCCAGAGCAAGTCAGGGAAACACCTTACTTGCGGGGAGGGGTCCCCACACTCTAGCGGTCTCTGATAGCCTGGCAGGTCAGACTGATTTCAGAAGATGGGTTGAACTTGACTACTATGTTCTGCAGGCAAATCTCTTCTGCTATGCCTTCCACAAGCTGTGTAAATAAGAGAGACGCTCACTTGAGTAATTAGAAGAAGAAACTGTCAGCTAAGTGGTTGGAGAAGGTGTAGGTGTGGCTGGAAGCAGTCTGTGTAGTTAGTTTTTAAAGCCATACATGTAGACAGTCAAAAGTACTTGTTTAATGAGCTTATACATTTGGAGTGACTCTTCACATCTCACAGCAAGGTCTGGGGCTCAGCTCTTTGGAAATCAAAGAGGCTCCTGCGCGGTGTTCACCCTGACCACTTCCTCCAGAGCCATGCGTGGGTTTCTTCCTCACAGTTTACTTTTCTGCCCAGTTAACCAACCCAGACAATCTAACTCCAGTGTTTTGTGGAGAGGAAATTTACCCTTGGTATTGGAAGATGTTTTGGCTCTTTCCTTCCCTCATAAGTCAACTCCAAGCTACCCAAAATACCTCTCCTACAGTGCTGGGATCCTTTACTAATGTTCATGTTTCTCCTAAGAGAGGGGTACTCCGCCTGCTTAATCCTACAAATTTGAAAGATTCTCTAATGTTCAAGTTCAAAGCACTATAATCTCAGTAATCACGCTTTGTTACAGGGCTGTTTTAGCTTTTCCCATCTGTATTTCTAAGCATTAATTTAATTGAACTTAGATTTGCATAATATACCACAATTTGGCAAACAAACGCTGTGTAGTGTCTCGCTGACAGGATAACGAGCTCATGAAACACCCTGTCAGCAGCCCTGTTCCACATGTGACTCCAGTCGGTCAGAGCCTCCAGGGCTCCCCGAGAGGCACCTCAGGGTGAGGCAACTCATCTGCAGCCTCTTTAGGCCATGGTTGGATCTCAAGGTGCTCGTTTGTTCTTCCGTATCCATTTGTTTTTCAGAGCTAACATTTGGGCTGCTGCTGCAATATTCTCCTCCATTTCTGATCCATGCCAGCCTGGAGACTAAGACAGAACAAGACTGTAGCTGAACACTTGGTCACCACTTTTTCCAGAGTTCCAGGACAGTGTTGTTAATACACAGGGCTATGCATGACCTTGCTGTCCCACACCACAGTAGTATCTATTAATTAAACACATAGACAGACAATCTTATAATTAGGTCAACTACATACATTCTGACTTAAGCCCTTCGTTCCATTCCTTTCTTTTGGGGATTAGAGTATATAGAGGGAAATTTTCTGTTTCCGTTTCTTTTTTGTTTTTTTAAAGGGAATTTTTCAATGATCAACAGGCAAAGTTTTCCTCACACTGCTAGAGCCTTCCCCTGAATATCCCATGACTTCTGATTCCTGCCCCCATAACCAAGTCTCCTGTGTGAGTTTCTTGTTTTTTGACTGTTACTCTCACTGATTTTTCCTTTGCTTTTGAGGATAGAACCGGGATAAAGTTCCAATCCTACGTGTGCTATTTGTGTAGATTTGAGAAAATCATTATGACATGCTAAGAATTTACAGTGCACTGGGCATGGTGGTACACCCCTATAATCTCAGCACTCTGAGAGGCTGAGGCAGGAGGATTGCAAATTTAAGCCCAGCCCAGGGAATTTAGCAAGACCTTGTCTTAAATTTTTTAAATTAAAAATTTAAATAACAACAACAAACACTGGGGATATAGCCCAGTCCAAAGGTCCTGAGTTTAATTCCCAGTACTGGGGTAGGGAGTGAGGATTCATGGTCAACCCAATCCCACTGCCACCACCAAACTAGCTGAAATACAGACGAGTCCTTCCTTAGGGTGACTTACCTCCACTAGACGGGCATCTAAGATCTGTACTATCTCCCTGCCAGCTGAATGAATGCCCAGCTGTCACTTTGTAGGGTTCGTTACTAGGAGCCTAGGAGTGACAGCTTCCTTTAGGAAGCCTACTATCACCACAAGAGTGCCATCAAAACCCTTCACCCTTGGCAGGTACATAGGAGGGACTAGGAGAGAGGGGTGTCCTGCAGTACTGTAGCCCAGGTCCAAATGGAGAGACCGCCCCAGGGTGGGGTCAAGAAGAAAGCCTGAAGAAGGAGCTGCCCAAGTCGCTCAGGCACAGGTCTGAGCTGGTAGGCTGAGCTAGAAACCAAGTGACGAAACAGAAAGACATTCTTAGTAGAGATCCAACTCTGCAATTAACTTGGCGTTGTCCCTTTTTTTTTTTAAATTCATCTCTACAGTGCTTGTTTTCCCTTAGACATGTGAAATTTTCACTTTCTCTTTTCTTCTTCAGACTTCTTCCGGAGGTGAGCAAATTGAGGCACACTGGGCTCTGATTCTGTGCATAGGTCATGAGTGAATGGTTCATTTTCCTTAGACACACACAAATACAGCTAACAGCTGCAGTGATCAAGCGTACACAGAGTGTTTTGGACAAGCAGCCACAGCACTTATGAGCTGTGAAAGGACCTGAATCTCAAGAGCTTTGGTGGCACTAACAGGCTCATGTGTATATATACCTGGCTTTTCCCATCTACCCATTTAAGAATCTGCAGATTTTTGTTTTACGTTGTTGTTGTTGTTGTTGTTGTTCATTTGAGACAGGGTGTTGCTATGTACCCAGGCTGGCCTCAAACTCCCAATCCTCCTGCCTCAGCCTCTAGAGTGCTTGGCTTACAGTTATGTATATGTATCATCGCACCTGGCAAATCTGCAGATTTTGCTAAATGGAAGGCTCATCTCCACCTCTTATTCCTCCCCGTCCTGTCCCTCTCCCCTCCCCCTCCTCCTCTTTTGATCTAACCTGGGGCCTTGTTCCTGCTAAGCACATGCTTTACCACTGAGCTAGACCTCCAGGCCCGAAGGCTAATCTCTTACTGGGTAATCAGATACCTGATTTTCATTTAAGACTGATTTCCCACTGGTAACTGATGATTACTCTTTGATTTTTTTATCTTCCCCACAAATGCTCTCAAGGACACAGAGCATTTACTTAAGTAAGCCTAAGCATGAATCTATGGCCAAGACTCTTTCATTTTTTTCTTTATTTTTATTTTTTTAGACAGGGTCTTGTTGTATAGTTTGAAATGGTCTTCAACTCACTATGTAACCTAGGCTGGCCTTGAACTCATGGTGATCCTCCTGCCTCAGCCTCCTGAGTGCTGGAATTACAGCATGCCTGGCTAGTAAAGACTACTTCTATAAAATGAGTAAGTCTTCCCAAACTTGCTTCCCTCAAAGAGGACTAGGATATTTTTTCCTAGAAATAGTCCCATCACACATCCTATTTTCTGCTCATCTTTAATTTTTTTCCATTGCCAAGTAAGAAGTTTTCCATTTATACTATAAAAAGAGACACAATCAGTTTTTGCCCTAATACACCAAAACTTCTCTAAGGTTTTACAAATATGAGTAATTACTACCAAAGAACTTGCATTATAAGGGAAGAAGCAAAATTAGAAAAACTCTGACCAGTGCAAGAGGCTGAGGGGACCCCTTCCCCTTCTGCCTGACTGCCTGGATCAGGTCATTCCTAAGGAGATGGCTGCTGACAGTCTTCTTGAGTGACCATATTTTCAGAACCAAGCATTGGTGGCATGCTGACATTTGACAAAGGGCTAACATGTCTTCTGTTCCAGAAATGATTTTCCCAGAAAACTGGCCACAGGGTTGCTCAGGACACCTCTGATAAGAGCCCCTCCTCCACAATTTGCCTGGGATGATGGCACAGGCTTGGGATCCCAGCACTTAGGAGGCTGAGGTAGGAGGTCTTCTGAGAGTTCAAGGCCAGCCTGGGCTGCATAGTGAGTTGAAGATCAGGCTGGACTACATAGCGAGACCCTATCTGTCTCACATAAACACACACAAAAAGAGGCCATGCTCTGCCCAGCAGCTCCCTCACTAGGAAGGGGGCTCTGCGCTGTGGCCCCTCACTCTCCAGCTTGCACTACATTATATCCCATAGGGATCCTTAAACTGATTAAAGCTGACGTTCAAACAGTCCCTCCCTCAACTGATCCATCTATCCACAATTTCCATTTTCGCCCTCCTCCCCCGTCAGCCTTCCCTTGTAAAGAGATAGTTAGCAGTAAATGATCATTGTCTACTGACTCTAGGCAGGAGCTGTTTATGGCCCTGTATCAAACTGGTCCTTTCTGGATTAAAAGTAATTATTCCAAAAGAAGGCTTTATGGTTAAAATTAAACCACAGTCAAAAGCTATTAGAACCTGGACTTTGGACAAACGCCAAAGAGGGCATCTTCCTGAAGGAGCGGGAAAGGGACTTTGTTAAAGAAATCGTCAACAAATGAACATATAAAAAAATTAAGTAAAAGGTTGAAACCTGTTCCACCATCCTCCTTCAGTTAGAAGGCACTTTGAACATTAGGAAAACGAAACCAGCAGAGGGTGGGGTGCAAATGCTGTCAGGTCATCCCGCCTCAAGAAAGTCAAGGTAGTGCCTACATGAGGGACGTGCGGCCTGGCGCCATGGCCGAGATCTGCCAGGCAGGCAGTTTGTGCGGCGTCCGCTGGGTGGTAGAATGGGGATGGGGGCCACCACCCGTGTGACCTTGGTCACCGGCTCTCGGAGATGACTCGGTGGCTTGCTCTGATTTGTTATTCCGCAGCTTGATTACGGAAAAGCAAGCATCAAGGTTAATTCTAGCACGAACTAGCGTACAAGAAAAAGCCCGAGGGTGCTGAGCACAGGCTGTGTCAAGGAGGCCCGGAAAATCCCGGGCCCGTACACCCCCACTGTTGCAAGTCCACCTGAGGCCAGCTCACCGCACCCTCTGCTGGAGGCTGAGGGCATGCTGGGCCCATCCGCGAGTGCCCGCAGGTCTCCTTCTCCCAGCTAAGTGTACCACTGCCCTCTGCTGGGCAAAACGCTTTTCAGGTACGCTAGCCTGGTTAAATGGAGAAAAGAAATTTCAACCCGCCCTCGCCCCAAGACGAGGCACTCTAGCGCGAGCCTCAGTTTCCACTTCACCAATGACAACATCATCAGTCTTTACTTACCTCAAAGACTTATTCTCAGGAGCAAATGTCTGGAGCCATACTTTTTTTTTTTAAATCTGTGCCTGCCTACTTTCATCCCAATCTAATCCAACTCAATTTCCTGAGGGAGAGCTTTCTTCCCAGTGCCCCTGAACTAGGAGCATAATTATAAAAACATACTCATTAAAAAAAAAAAAAAGATTATGTTGTCCTAAGAGTGGCAGGTTTTTGTTTTTTGTTTTTTGTTTTTTTGTTTTTTTTGAGACAGGGTCTCGCTCTGTAGTTGAGGCTGAACTTGAACTCAGGCTGGCCTCTAATTCATGGCAATCTTCCTGCCTCAGCTTCTTGAGTGCTGGGATTATAGGTGTGTGCCACCATGCCTGGCCCTCATAAATTTTTTTTTTTTTTTTGGTAACGGGGATTGAAGTCTGAACCTTGTGCTTGCAAAGCAGGTGGCGAAACCACTGAGCTAAATCCCTGGTCTTCCTCATGAATGTTTTAAACATAATTTTCAAAAAAATTTTTTTTCATAAAAGCATGTACCATAATTTAAATTTCTGTCAATTATCTGTTCAGTGTCTATACTCTCCAGTAGATTATGAATCCCCTAAATGTAAGGACTTGCCTGTCATTGTTACTATTGTATCCCCAGGACCTACCTAGCATAGCACTTTATGTACAGTAAGTGGTCAATAAATATCCATTGAATAAACACAGGGATGAATCATAAGAACTGGTACAGGCCTGTTAGGAACAGAAGGAACAAAGTTGGATACGGGAGGAATCTTATTTCGGGAGTGATAACATAAATTAATATGAAAAATGAAAGGGCAGGGGTGATGAAAAAGCTTTGAAAGTAGAGGTAGTGCTAGTGCAATGTTGTGAATGCACAAAACACGACTGAATTATAACTTTCAAATGGTTAATTATATGCTATGTGAATTTCACCTCAATAATAAAAAATGAAAGGGCATAACTGTAATATAATAATTACAATCCTTGATGATTTAGACACTTTACAAATATTTGATGAAGTCAACATAAAGAGAGTAACTTGTATGCAGTGCTTGATAGTTTACACAAATGCTTTCACATCCCGTGATTTTGTTGGTTCCTCCCCAAAAGCCCCTGGACATGCAGACAGGAAAAGTGGCTTCCCATCCTCATCAGGCCAGGGACAATACCCCCTCAGAGCCTCTGCTCTTGCTGCTCTGCACCTGAAAATGACTCCTCCTCATCAGAAAGGCCTTCCTGACTGCAGCCCATCCTCCCACTTTCCTTCTTTCACCCTTACCCAGCTTGATTTTTCTTCAAAATTCTTAGAATATTTTATACATTGACTCTGACTGTGTTTGCTTCCATGATAATGTAAGCTCCAAGACAACAGGGCCAGTTTTGTTCTCTGCAATGATCATCCTGGCATCCGGAATGGTTCCTGAGAAATGACAGGTGCTTAATAATTACTTGTTAAGTGAATGAATAAATAGTAGAACTTTGCCTTGATTTTGACAGATCTTTTGTGGAGGGAGCCTACGTTTTATAGGCAACATCACAAAATGAAAGAGTGCTGTGACCGAGAAAACACCAGCTATTGGGACAGGAATAGAATGCTGTCTGGTTCAGCATTGTCCCTCCATGGGGTTTCTCATCCCCAGCTCAGTGGGCTGCTAAATGGCCTATGTTGAGCCCCTGTCTACACCAGTAAGAAATACACAAAGGACCAGAAGACCTGGCCATGGCACATGTCCAGGTTCTATCCTAAGTGTGCTTCTGGGGCACAGGGCATCTAAGAGGCGAGGAAAGAGAAAATGACAGGCAGCGATCAGACTCCAGAGAGTGGCAGATTGTGACCTTGAAAGATCCACATCATCTGGGTAGAAATGGCTCCAGGACCAAAGTGATTTGCAACAGAAACTTTGTGTGATTAATTCTCATTCCCAGGAGAAAGCTTTCAAGGCTGGCCTCTCACAAAGGGGGTGTGTGTGGCATGGTCTGACAGGAGGGACAATGAGCCTCTGTGACATGGTGGCCCTAGAACTGTGCCCATTGACAACTTTGTGGCCAACAGCAGCAGCCCATCTGCCTCCAGTTTCTGAATCAGGCAGTCAGGCACAATGGAAAGTTGTTGGTATGACACAAAGAACACAGACATTGACTGCAGGGGGCAAACTACTACAGCCCTGGTGTCAGTCAGACTTCCTGCACCTGTCCGCACCTATCATCTGAGGGGAGTTGAGAGACTGCTGATAAACTCACAGAAACAAAATGTGGTCATTTGTCCAACCTGATGATGGCCACAGGGCATTATTGTTGCCTTTTAAAATATTTAATGAGGGGTCGGGGATTTAGCTCAGCGGTTGAGTGGCCTGCCTTGCAAGTGCAAGGACCCGAGTTCAATCCCGATACCAAAAAAAAAAAAAAAA